ATTTATTTCACATCCGGAATCCCATCCTGCCCACACCGTAACAGTAGAAGAATTCCTTACATCACCAATCCCACTTTCCTTGCCCCCAAAAGCTATTCATCCTTCCGAAGTGAAATTTCAATTTAAAAAATTAATCCCACGTAAAGCTCCTGGACATGATCTCCTTACCCCTCAAATCCTTCGACAACTTCCATCCAAAGCAGTCATATTCCTTACATATATCTACAACTGTATCCTACGCACCACCCACTTTCCTCTGCTATGGAAACACTCCACTATCATCCTTTTCCAAAAACCAGGCAAACCTCCCAATATCTCAACATCCTATAGACCAATTAGCCTACTCCCAATCCTTTCAAACATTTTTGAAAAGATCCTTTTGAAACGAATCCTACCCATTATAGAATCCCAAAATATTCCTTCCCATCAGTTTGGTTTTCGCTCCCAACATTCCACTGTTCAACAAGGACTCCGAGTTGTTGATCATATTTCCTCAGCCCTAGAAAACAAGGAATACTGTTCGGGTGCATTTCTGGACATTGCACAGGCATTTGACCGGGTATGGCACTCCGGACTGCTCTTCAAGCTTAAAATCCATTTACCTCAGTCCTTGTACCTAGTCCTCCGATCCTACCTCTCTGACCGCTCCTTCCGAGTTCGCTGTGGAACAGAATTTTCCAATATCTACTCCGTTAAAGCCGGTGTTCCCCAAGGCAGCGTCTTGGGTCCCGTGCTTTACATCCTCTTTACTGCTGACATCCCTGTTCATCCCGATACTTTTCTTGCAACATTCGCTGACGACACCGCAATCTTCTCATCCAACTCTGATCCCAACATAGCATCCTTAAATCTCCAAAACCACCTCACCTTGATTGAGCACTGGTGTAATAACTGGCGCATTAAAGTTAATGAATCTAAATGCCAACATATTACCTTTACACTCCGACGCAGTTCCTGTCCACCAGTACACTTTAATTCCATCCAGCTTCCTTACTCAGACACAGTCCGGTATCTTGGCTTTCATTTAGACCGAAGACTAACGTGGAACCCACATACTAGACTCAAAAGACAAGAACTCAACCGACGATACGGCCAGCTATACAGACTACTAAACAGAAAATCCAAACTTTCTATTGAAAACAAATTACTTATCTACAAGACAATACTGAAACCTATATGGACATACGGACTTGAACTGTGGGGGACAGCAAAAGCTTCTAACATCAAACGTATTCAATCCTTTCAATCTAAAGTCCTTCGAACAATAGTTGATGCTCCGTTCTATGTAAATAACAAAATCCTACACCATGACCTTAATATCCCATTTGTCCTAGACCTTATTCCAGAAAAATTCTCCAAATTTCACCAAAACCTTACCTATCATCCAAATCCCCTTGCACAATCTCTATCCAGCACCACCCATCCTTACAATCCTCCTCGAAGGTTGAAGCGGCAGTGGCCCAGAGACCTTTTGTAAATAACCATCTATTGGAGTTTTGGCAATGGCCAGATCTTCCACTCAAGCCCGAGTGTGTATGATTAGGTTAGTTCTTTTGTTTATATACATTTATTTTATTTTATTGTATTTATTTTTATTTTATTTTATTGTATTTATTATTATTAAGTTTCTGTATTATTTATTTATTATTTTTTTTTTTTTTTATTGTAAATAGAGTGTGAGTGTGCTTTCTCTGATCACTATTATAAATGTCCTTGATGTGACAGAATGTAATATTTCTAAATAAACAAATAATAAAAAAGACCGCATTTAAATAATTGTTGTGTTAATGTTTTGAAAAAATATTATATTTTTCAAACACAGAAATTTATCTGGACATAAAGACTAGAACTGTAGGTGACAGCTAAATTATCGATCATTAAACGCATCCAATCATTCCTTCGAACTATAGTAATTTTTTTTACCCACTATCTCACCATTTCTGGCATACAGGAGGAGGGAAGGTTTTAGGGGTACAAAGAAACCTATTCTTACCAGAGTGAGAAGGTAGAGATTCTTCCCGTGGTTCCTCCACAAAATAAAATCCAATCCACCCTGGCCGGATTCGAATCAGCGCCGCAAGACCTTAGAACGTTGTAACTAGCAACGCTTAAACACGATCGGACACCACGGTCTCTCCTTCCACGTAGTCAACGATAATATGAATTTGAATTATATGAGTTTGAACACTACATAATGAACTTAAAATTCCATTTCCTGACAAATCTTCCATATTTCAGCCAAACATCTCTCTATCTTTCGAATCCTGTAGCATGATCTCTATTTAACTCTACCCCCATCATTACAATGCTCGCCAACGTTTAAAACATAAATGACCCGGCGGCCTTTTATAAATATATGTGTGCCTTTCAGTTGACAGAATGACTAACTCCAATTTAAACATTTTTGAGTAAAGCCATTTTAGTCATATTTCTACTTGGAAAATGTATATCTGTACATATGAAAATGTATATCTGGACAGTGAGTAAGGTGATTCCAGAGTAGATGATTACAGTGTTGAAATATAGAAATGTGAATAAAGGTATACATTTTCCAACTAGAAATATCACCTAAAATTATAAACAAAAATGTGGAAATCGGAGTTAATCATTCTGTCAACTGAAAGGCTGACATATATTCGTGTTCCGTCGATGAAAGGTACTCTACTCAAGTCATGTGGGTTTTAGCCTTTAACGCCTTCCCTCAACCTCCTCTGGTTTTTAATATCAATAACGCTGTTGAGAGCGTCGGGATCTCCTGGAGTCTTGTTTACAGGTGAAGTAACTAACCTGTTTCCGAGTTCCTCTGGCTGATTGTAAATAGTGTATATGTAGGCCTCTAAGATTTATTTTTATTTGTAAGTTATTTTTTTTTTTATTTGTTATATTGGTATTACATGGATATGGTATGAATGTACTCTTTCATCGCTGTTACCATTGTCCTTTATTGTGACAGAATGTAATCAATAAAATAAAAAAATCATATTTTTAAAGTATCTAAAAAATTTTTGGTGGGCATGAGAAAATTACAAATCCCACTATTAACGACTAAAATAAATTACCGCATTGAGAATTTTTATTTAAGAAGAAGTTTCCGTGAGTATAATGACTGCTTGCAATATAAATAATGATAATTTATAATGACTGCGTCCTGAATATTAATCATCCATGATATGTAGAACAGTCGATTAACTTCCTCCAATAATACTATACTATATAATGGTATTTTTTAATATATTTCCCAACGTTTCGACCTACGTTATAGGTTAAACTTATTTCACACGGGAGCATTTATTAAGTTAATAATAATTTGAAGGACAAATATCATTTCTCCATAGGTAATTTAATTATTTAGCTATCTATTGTATTTTTTTTTTATTCATTGCTATTTACAACTTTATTATAAAAAAAAAAATACAACCAGTAAATGTGCACTCAGGAATATAACATGAAATCTGTTATTGAGAAACTACCCACTGATAGCACTCAAATAAATCTATTGTGTTAAATTCGAAATGAAATATTTTGCACACTGTGCTGAATTATCGTTCAGTTAAGTGCAATAAGTACTTTTATTAAAATGTTTTGAATCCTAAAGTCGTATAGAAATAAGGTTAAGACGATTATAGATACATCATGCTTAAATGGATTTTTGTCTTTTCAATCCAATGTTACTGATAGAAAAAAAAATGAGCAATTCCTATATTAAATAAAATATAGGGAGGTTACAGAAATTGATAAATGTCAGATGCGGGGTATAACAAGGTGATTAGAGGTGCTCGGCGTTCGATCAACAGATGGTGTGTAAACTAAATCCATTACAACCACTCGCTGTTCTGGTTGCGGAATACCCATCTTCCTAACGATTTGCGTTAAATTTACAAATACTCTAGTGTAGATATTTGGATTTTCATTAAATTAACGAAATTCACTTATAAAACAATTGCTATTGGTAAATGAAAACTATCTAAAACTTTTATAAATGTTATCACTTGTTCAAAGAAAAAAAAATTAGGGTCAAAAATTAAATAAACAGTGTCACTATCTAAGGTTAAATATTCTATGAAATTCATTTGATAAATAAAACTTTTATCAACGCTACTAAACTTTAAAAAAATAAAAAACGATCACCATTCTACATAATTATACATCTGAATATTCAGAAGAAAATATATTAAAATTCATAACAATATGACATTAGTTCAAAAGATTAAAAGTATTCACTACAAGATTATTTTTTTCCATTTTCTTCTTATAACAATCCATTCAATGAAGCCTAAAGATGATTTCACTCGGAAGAAAAATAATCAATATTTTCTAAACTTCACCTTATGAAACCATGAAGTATAGATTCGTAATATCATAAGATGGAAAATGTAGTAAATTAACAAGGACAGTCTTTTGGAGAAGAGAGGTTATTATTTTTGCGATGATTTATATATATATTTTTTAAATATTATTTATTCATTAGATAGTAACACAGTACGTATTAAAATATATACAAGGGCAAGATCCTAAACTCAGCGCTGAGCTCATCCGAAATCTACCATGCTGTTCCTAAACTCATCTATTGATCAGCTGTTCCTAAACTCATGAATCAAGTGCGTTTCTTTATTCATAATGAATAACTGATTGTTAAGGGATTCTATCGACTTTTGGGCTCAACAGATCCGCTGAATGTGACCTTATTCTATCATCAGTGTTGTCATTTATCGATTTAATATACATATTTATATTCAGTTTACTTTATGTCTATATTTATTTCTGTTTTGAACTAAAACAATTCAGTGAGAGAATATTTCCTTATATATATTTTATTAATGTGTTTTGTAACCTTTCAGGAATTTTAACTTTCCTCTAGAATAAAATAGGTCGTTACCAAAGTCAGTATAAATCGCGGTACATCGCTGCTGTATTTCTTCGATGGAATTAGCGCAGAGTTTCGACATTTGCCCCATCAAAAACAAATAATAAATAATTTAATGAACTTTAAAGCTACTTACGACGAAGTGTGTGGGAGCCGTCGTCAGAAATTTCAGAGCCTGGAGTCGGGTCGTCGGCACTTTCTTCTGGAGAAGGTGAGACAGACACACTGATGGGGGATAAGATCTGCTCCAATTTGAGACTCTTCAGCGGCGGAGGAGCGAAGGCCGAAGGGAACGGACTCGGGAACGGAGGTCCGAAGAGCTGCTGTTGCAAGAAGTGAGAAGGGAGTCCAGGGTAACTCTCGATCAAGCGGAAGCCGCGACCACCGACAAGGTCTTTAGCCTCTTGCACCTGAAATAAAGACAAAGGGTGGGTCGTTTCTCGAACTTTGCGAGTTTTTGTATACTTAAATAGAAAAGAAAAACATCAAATACAGGCCATATTAAATAATTTGTTATTGAAGATGCCATTATAAAAAAAAAAAAAAAACAATCACAAAAATACAAAGCAGTCGTAGGCCATAAGCGCCTGGGGCGATATTTAGCCAGGACTAGTGTTGCCCAAAAGCGAGACCGAGACGAGTCTTGGTCTTGCAAACTCAGTCATGTTCATAGTCTTGGTCTTGCGCAAGACTCTCGCAACAGTCTTGCAGTTACTTATTAGCTTATTACTATAGAGATATTACTGTAATTTTTTAGATAGGATAAACCTAACTAAGCCCGAATGAAATATTAGAGGGGTTGAATGCAAAAGTATATTAGTTATAACAATTATTAATATATAATAACTAAAATTGTCAAGAATTTTGAATTAATTTTTATTAAACAAATTGATTTTGTTTACCAGTCCTGGTCTTGGTCTTGCAACAGTTAAGAGGCCTTGTTCTTGGTCTCGCAAAGTGCAAAACCAAGACCGATTTTGGGCAACACTAGCCAGGGCATTTCCCCCTTTCATCCTTCTATATCGCCCAACAGCTTATCTCATGGTTGTGAGCTATTTATCTAAATTTTGAAATCTCTATTCATCTAGTAAGTTTTCAAACAACAGCAACTGAAACTAAGGTTAGTAAAAATAATATCAACTTGAAAACATGTCGTGTAGAATGGTTTCATATAGATGAAAATGAATAAATCTTATAGTGGAATGCGAATAGAAGAAGAACTGCTTTAAACAATATTTTACATTCTTGTTTGTGGCTACCCTCCTGGCCACAGGGCCCGGGGAAATCTCTTATCACTCAATTTTCCGATCTCTAATTTCCCTGCAACCATATACAGGAAAATAAACTTGTCGAGGATTTTCTGAAACTATACGAGCTATTTCCTCAGGTTGACCAATAATTAATAGGTCTTTTCTCTCTGGTAATTACTAAATATATCAATATTTTATGCTATTCCTTTTTGATGATTTGTTCAACATCGAAATTATCATGTTTTTTTTTTTTTTATTATACAGATTTTTTCTATGAAATAAATCAATACAATACATTATTCAAACGAAACCGGGATCCAGAGCCGTACCCTGTGAGGGGATAACGGGACAATCGTCCCAGGCGGCAGAATTTTACAAAAAAAAAAAAAAATATTTAGTTTAAGAAAAAAAACATTTTGTCAGTTTATTGTAAAAAGTCACTAAGTACACTGTAGATCGATCTTTACCTGAAGGCACGTAGTAATTAATTTCGATCATATTTATTGATATAATAACTCATTAAGTGCATAAAAATAATAGAAATCCTTTTATGTGAGCTAAGTCTAACTCCCGTTCAATGTACTTGCAAGATTGTGAAATTAAGTTAGTGTTTTGTTTACCAATGATAGTGTGCAAAAAGTCACTTATGTGTATCGTGGTTTCATTTTTTTTTCTTCATTTATCCGTGTATTTTAATTAATTGTAGGACATAGAATACATATTTAGAATTAAAAATAACAAAAAATTGCTATTTTAATATTTTTTTAATGAATTTGAAACTTTAAATTCGATTATCTCAGATTCATTGAAATGTTACTTAGTGATTTTTGGCCATAAACCGACGATTTCTTTTTTACTTTTAAGTTGTTTAGGTCTTTTTAGTTGTTTTGATGACAGTTTTATTCTGTTGTATTGCTGGCATTGAAGATCTTTTTTTTCCCCTTAACCAGCCTTCTCCATCTCTGCCTATCTTGTGCTATTTCTTTCCTGTTACCTACATGCAGCTCAATTACATCTTTATTGATTCGATCCATCCATCTGCATTTCGGCCTTCCAAGTCGTCTTTTGCCAACTAATGAGGCATTTATTGTGTAGAGGCTTCCAAATGGATTGTTCCGAAGCTACACGCCCAAACTATGTTAACATCCTTGCCTACATATCATGCATACTGATTGACTAGTGTCTGTAAGCAGCTGTTTATTGGACTTTTTCCTCCATCCGTTAGTACTCTGATCTCAGATAGTGTGGATGATTTTTCTATTAAATCTTTTAATATTTCTTTTCAAGATGCTAGTTTGAGTCCAGGTATCGCAATGACGGTATTAGAACTGGCTTTATCATAACACTGTACTCTCTTAATTTAAGAGTTCTTGAGATTGTTCGGGATCTCAATACCTTTGAAAGAGAGAAGAAAGCTTTCGAATTAATATTATCTGATGATATTTAAGGTAAGTATACCAGTAATAGACACTTCAAGATAAATTTTCAACATTGTTGTGAACTACAGCTTTAGTTCTGAAAGTGGATCCTTACAAATAGATTTAATTGAATGCACATTTAGTCTTTCATCGAAATATGTACGGTAGATAGGGAGTTTGTATATTGTTTTCTTTAAACATTGTAAAATTCTGATCTTAGATTTTGTATCAGTAATAGACACTTTGAATTTTCTATGATTTAGTAATAGACCCTGCTTTGTACTAGTTATAGATAGGATCCTTTATATAGGAAAAAAGTCGTAACAACAAACAAAATAAATAATTTGCAACTGAAATAATCTAACCAGCAGGGGTGCCCAGAAGGGGGTTTTATGGCGCAAGTTGTGGCATCAAAATTTTCGAAGGGAGCATATTTTGACGGGTTTTTGCATTTTTGAGAGAGACAAATTTCGACGGGGCTATGAATTTTCGAAGGGACAAGGAGAAAACATGGAACAGATCGCAGCAAGCGTAATTGTATTTGATCTACTATTTTTCTAATTCAGCTTGCTTTATTTTTAAGAAAAGGTGAATAATAAAATATCTTGGGAGCAGAGGAGGGGGTAGGTTCTTGCGCCATCGACCCTGGGAGGGGGAATGGGCACCCCTGCCAATCAGATAAAATTCTTCGTCACTTCACAAAGTTGAAGAAAGCTTTTTTTTTAGTTTATTAATGATTTTACATTATGCATTAAAATTATTCGCGGCACACCATTTTTTTCAGCTGGAGTGGCTATATGGACGTAACAAATTGTATTTAGCACATTTTCTTCTGAATAGTTTTAAATCTTTACTGCTTGCATAAAGCCTACATGTAAGCATTAACATAAAGTGAATTACATAAAGTAAACAGAAGAATTTACACATCAGAATTATTATAATCTGTCACAATTTTCAACAATAGAAATATTCCAAAATTTTAAACTATCAATGAAATAAAGAAGATTTTCCATTGATAGTTTTATCCAAATCTACCCAAATGCAGTGAGAACCAAAGAAAATAGGAAAATAATTTCGTTTGAATGAATAAAAGTTTTTCCCTAAATTTAAAGCTTTCAATATTTTTTTATTTTCATTGGGTATACACAATATTACACGCTGTACAATGCATACATTAGTAATAGTGCGATAATAGTAGTACAACATATTTATAGAAAATAAATAAATTAAAAAAACAGAAAAATAATAATAGGTATAAACAAAATAATTATACAAATAATAAAACAATAATAGAAAATAAAACTTAAACTTAAATTAAATACTTTAATTCAATTCATGAATAATATATTATAAATTACTGACGAGGAGGAGATCAATCAATCGTGTTGAAAATTATAATTAATAAAACACTTAAGAAAGATGAAAAGAAAAATAATAATACTATTTTTACTCAAAATTTTTGAATTATTTCGCATTACCTGACCTACCTAGGGAGTCCCTTAATATTGTATCACATAAAGCTCCTAAAGGTCTAGATCCGCCACTAATAATATAAAAATCTATTTTCATCGCTTTTGGTGATATGAGGGAAACAGAAATTTGAGTTTTATTTAGGCTAAACCATTCCCATACACCTCACAACAAAAAGAAGAACTTTTTTTTGAAAAATGACCGTGTGAGAGAAATAGAATTGCGAACCAAACCAGCCCACCCACAAGAACAAATCAGAAAAAATAGCAATAGAAATTAACAGGAGAGCATTAAAAGTGGAAAAAGATGTAAATCAGGTTTTTCTCAGTTCGACAGGTACCCGCTGCAGTTTGCTAACCATGAAAAATCAATATACAAATCTCCGAAATGAAATGATGGACTTTTTCATTGACCGGGAGGTAAATATACACTATATCAAACCTATGGGACAGAATAATAATAATTTTCTTTGTAGACAACTTATCCAACCATTACTATAAAACCTAATATCTTATATAACCGGATCCTAGTGACTCTTAATGTATAAAAAGTACTTTAATAGAGAAAATAGGAAACTTATTCGTCGCCAAAGTTGCCAACTCGTTTTTTGGAAGACGTGAGGAATTAAATTTTGACGATTTATATTTAAATTTAAACGTGAAAACGAATTGATTCCTACTATAAAAATAATTGGACTTCAAGCTGAAAGTGTCTAGTTCACACTTGTGTTCTAGTTGGCACTGTAGCCACAAAACCCTTAGGACAAGATTTCGTATCAATTAGCGGAATGGCTCCTATATTTATATTACATGTTTTTTTTTATGTGGGCTTTAAAAAACTCTGTCCCGGACCCAAAATGGTTGAGGTACCAATGACTCTAAACGTTCCAATTTACTACAAAAAGCTCATACACATGTGGGGTTGAGCTTTTGAAAAACTATCGAATTCTTCCCGTGCCCAATTCAATCTTTATTTCTCTTTATTAAAATCATCCACAAGAAGCCCAATTTGATGCAGATTTGTCCCGAAAAAATGTATATCTCCTTTAATAACTTCTTGCCGACACGAAACCACTATGTATATATAAAATGGGTAGTTCCGTCCAAACCTATTATCATATATGTTTTATATAGCTGTGAATTTCAATAGTAATTTAATATATCTTTGGTTTCGTTGTAGATTTTTTCCAAAATAAAAACATAGTATACTGAATGAAATATTTAATATATAATGTGTAATACCGTGTATTTTGCACAATGCTCGTTAAAAATC